GAGATTTTCGCTATAGGGCGTGTGCACTCGCCAGACAGAGAGACATAGAGACAGAAAGCGAGAAATCACCCCCCAGGGGGGATGGCCACGCCGCAATCCCTTCTCCTCCATTCTCCTCTCGGGATCTTGGGCACACAGCCACCCGCGCCCGGCGTGAGTTTTAAACCACCGGGTCCGGGACGCAAACCGCGGTTGACTATGTGGGAGTCCAGCGACATAGCCATTACGCTAACTGCTGGTCCCAACACCCCCATTTTGATGGAGACTACAGAAGCTGTGAATTCAGTTCTTCAAAACTTTGCCACCCTTCAATTAGATCTTGGACCTTCAGCCCGGTCTTTTTCAAGGCAGTAGATGAATAAGAATCACCTTTGAGGGGCCTATAGGTGGTGTGGTAGTTGAGGCACTGGACTCCCACAAGGTTCGAGTCCCAGGCCAGGCAGCTTGAAACTAATGCCAGGCGCATGTGCGTGCATGCCTAAAATCTTGAGAGGAGAATGGAGGAGAAGGGACTGAGGTGTAGCTCTTCAGGGGGTGATTTCTTGCTTTTTGTCTTTCTGTCTCTCCAGCAAGTGCATGTGCCTATAGCAAGAATCTCTCAAAAAAAAAAAAAAAAAAAGAAGAAGAAGAAGAATCTCCTTTAAAGCTGCTATAGAGACTCTCTAGCTTTCACAAGTGTCTTAAGTTAACAGTTGGCACTTTTAACACTATCTTCTTTTCTTTTCTTTCTTTCTTAGAGACAAGTAAGTGAGAAATCACACCTCAGGGGGATGGCCATGCTGAAATCCTTTTTTCTCTATTCTCCTCTCAGGATTTTGGGCACATCACATGCACGCGTGCCTGTGTTTTCAGGCTGCCAGGTCTGGGACTTGAACCAGAGTTTGCCATGTGAGAGTCTAGCACCTTAACCACCCACTGGCTGGCCCCATGCTATCCTTTTTTCAAGACTTCCAGTGAGGTTAAGGCAAGCCAGTCCAGGTGCTGGCAGGTGGTGTGGTGGTTAAGGTGCTGGACTCCCACGGAGCTGATTGTGGTCTGGGTCCTGGACCTGGCAGCTTGTTTTCTCACTTTTCTTCTCTGTCTCAGTCTCTGTCTGGTCAAATGAAATAATAACAGTAACAACAACAATAATAAATACAATTAAATAAAGTAATTCCTTTTTTTTCTTATTTGTTTACATTCATTCACTGTACATCATTACAGCATGCAAAATGAGATTTTCCATGCAGAGTACACTGTATATTGTCTCAATCAAGCACATCAACATACATGTTATTGTCAACAAATAATTTTCCATTTCTTGTTTCCTGTATATTTTGCTTTTTTCTCCCCCATCCTCAATTCCCTATCTCTTACCCTCTGCTATCTCCCACTCTCTTCCCACACTGTCTCTGGTATCTATGTTTACTTTCTATACTGTTTCCCCCACCCCCATTTTTTGTATTGAGTTACTAAAGATCTTAATTAATCTAAATATTTTCACAGCAAACACAGCTGATGTATACATTTCCATGAACACAAGTCTAACTTTAGGCATCCTATAAAGTAGCACCTAGCGGGGGCTATATATCTTACTGCGGTCATCGAATGGATTTTTTTTTTTCCTGAAACTTATTTTTTTTTTGTAACTTAATTTACATTCTTTCACTAAGCATCATCACAGCATACAAAATGTGATTTCCCATCTAGAATATACTGCATAAAGTAATTCTTTTAAAAAAAAGAAAAAGAAAAGCTAGTCTATTCCCTAATCCTTATAATCATTGCCCTCTTATTGTTCCAGCGTCATAGCGACTAGATAACCCAATACCTTGACGTCTGCATTTCAGCCCAATCGACCATAGATAGAAGCGTAAATAACCCTGATGCCACCACTATCTCCTTCCCACCCTGCCCCCTGCCCATCATCAGCAATGGGGTTGTTGCCATCTGGTAAGCAATCCAGTTCCAAATTGCCAACTTGAGGTTTAGTTTTGAGGGCCACAATTTCGATCAACATGCCTTAGTGTAGGTTTCTCATCTGTGTGGTTTGTCGGCAAGTGTGAGTCCAAGGATCAGGAGTGAAGTATAGAAGTTAGAAAACGGAAGGGAAGAGCTATTGCATGATCAAATTGGCCACTTCCAAAGTCATTTGGTTGCTTGATCCTACAAGACTGTTTTTTCCTTTTTTCTTTCTTTCTTTTTTTTTTTTTTTTTTTGAGAGGTTTTTGCTATAGGGCGTGTGCGCTCACCAGAAAGACAGAGATAGAGAGACAGAAAGTGAGAAATCACCCCCCAGGGTGGCCACGCCGCATTGGGATCTTGGGCACGCACGTACATGCGCCCGGTGTGGGTTTAAGCCACCAGGTCTGGGACTCGAACCACGGTCAACTACACGGGAGTCCAGCGACATAGCCATTATGCTAACTGCTGGTCCCACCTGCAAGACAGTTTGAAAGCTGTCTGAGGGTATCCATTGGAGGGGAAATGCAGAGAAGCATGTGTTCGCCACTCATTGGTCCATCCGTCAAAGATTTGCACCATGAGACATTAGCCACTTCTACACCTGCACTTCTGAACCGCACATTTCTGGGTGCTGAATGGTTCCAGCAGGGTCCCATGACCCCACGGCATCAAGAAGCAAGCTTTGATGCACAAGAGAAGCTTAAGGCAAAGACTTAAGGGGAGGCTCACTCAAGTGACACCTGCTGAAGCTGGACTAAGATCAGTGGTGTGAAATAAGCAGCAGATGAGACTAAGACAATCTGAAAGGGTGCATAAGAGGCATCTGATACACCGGCACCTCTGAATTCGTGAATTGAGATTCATTCTTGGTATATATTAAACCAAAAGTGTGCCCTGTTCATATTATAAGCCTCAGCTTTCTCTTTATAAAATGAGGATAGGAATCACCCCAAGCTTGTAGGATTGTTCTGAGAACTAGAAATCCTTATGTACAATATGCAAAGCCTGATCATGATGCCAGTTCAAATATATACTTCATTTATTGGTTTATTATTAGTCAGATGCAAAGTCTTTCCAATTGGCCACAGGGGCCCAGTGTGGTGAGGCCAGAATTGTCAGATTTCACCTTGAGCGAGCTGCGAAATTGGGCCTGCTCCAGACAGCAAGAACTTGTTCACTCCTGAACAGCCTTCAGAGTGGCCTAGGGCTGGGCGCTGCCAACCCAGAGACTAGACTCCCCTAGTCCCTTGCCCTTAAAGCGCTTACAAGCTGGCAAAGACGGGCGACACACACACTTCGGAGTGAGCACTGAGGTGGTACCAAGCCCAGGGGCCTCCAGGGGCAAAAAGAAGTCCTAGGAGAGGGCAGGCTTTCCTTTGGAGCATAAAACGGTCCCCCAAGTTCTGGAGCCAGGCAAAAGGTGGAGGCAGGGAAAGACGTGTTTTACCAGGTTCGCTCAGGGCGAGTTCACCGCCGTTTGCTGGGCCTTGCGGTGATCACAGAGGTCAGCTGAGGCCAATACGGGTCCATTCCCACAAGGGCATAAGTGGAGCGAAGAAACGAACGGCCACACTTAACTGCGATGCGCATATGAGCCCACCTTGCCCTGCCCTCCATCACCCACTCCTAACTCGGGGTGTCATCGTCTCATGTACTCCCTCTCGGGTTCCAGCTTAACAGCCCAAAGAAACCGTGGCCTTGAGGATGTGGTGACTTAGTTTTTCTTTTCACAGTCGTCTCTCATTATCCTATTTCCTACTTCCTTAAGAAAAGGGGATAAACAAACAGTAGGAAAGCCCCAAACTCTTGAAAATTCCCTGCGCCCCCTGGAGCCAGGCGAGCGCAGAAAGCCCACCCCACCACGCCACCTCCCCTCCCCGCCCCCGGGGCGCCTGTGTCTTTAAGACCCCTAGGCTCACCCTCCGGAGGGGCGGGGGAGAGAATCCGCTCTGCCTGCCGTCGCCGGCTGACGTCTCTGGGAGCGTCTTCTACTGATGCTGCTGTGTCTTTAAGAAGGCGGAGCTCTACCCGGAGGAGGCGGAGAAGTCCCACCCCCGGATCTCCGGCTTCCGGCAACTCGGCTGGATCGGAACCAGAGTGGAGCATCCAAGGCCCTAACATTCCCCCGACCTGCTAGACGCCGAGCCTCGCGAGGTGAGGCGACCGGGTCTGCGGGGCCGGTTCTGGACTGAGGGGCCCAAGATCTCCTGCCCGCCCGGGGCGCTGCGGCCAGGCCCTTGCTCTAAAAGACTGGCTCTCCTTCGCGGAGTCCTAGGCTGCAGGATCGCCGGCCCTCCAGCACTCACTAATTGCCTGGCTCTGCACCTGGCACCTTACACGCATTGTTTCTCTTAATGACCCCTCACGTCGTGTGAGTAGGAACCATTATGAGCCCATTTTACAGATGAGGAAACTGAGGCCCCAAGAAACACACACATCAGAGAAGGCGCAGAATCGGGAATCAAACCCAGGTCTGTCTGACCCTAGAGCCTGTGCGCTTAATCACTGCCTTTGCTCTCCGCTCTCAATACTCAGCCGCCCCTTTCTCATCCTTTCACCTCCAGGCCGCACCTAGTCCCTAAACATTAACACAGTGAGGGAAATTGGGTGGAACCTTTTAATTCTTTAAAAGAACTAAATTCTTTTAAAAGGTTCTTTTCTTTAGAGAGATTTTTGCTATAGGGCACATGTGCTTGTCAGAGACACACACACAGAGGGGGAAGAAAGAGGGAGAGAGAAAGAAGTCCCTCCTTAGGAGAGATGGCCATGCCACTATCCCTTCTCCATTGTCCCCTGGAGATTTGAGGCATGCACACACACTTGCCTGGCATAAGTTTCAAGCCACTGGGTCTGGGACTCGAACCACAATCGGCCACGTGGGAATCCAGCACCTTAACCACTATACCACCTGCTAGTCCCTATAGGTATTTTCTACAGTCTCATGGTGTTGACGTTCTTCTGCCCCAGCCTCCCAATTATTGATAGGATAACACCACCCGACCTGGTGGGATCAGGTTGGCCCTGGAATCCAACCTGGCATCCCACACATATTCCAGCCTCCCAAGCACTTGCAGCTGGGCTCCAGGGTTAGCTTCTTTTAACGGTTGTAATGATACCTGATGCTTAGTGGTTATCTTTGTACAAACCTGGAGAGATAATCTCACTGAAAAGAACGCAAGTACCATTCTAATGCTGAAATAAGATTTGTTCGCAGGTATCTTTTTCTGTTGTCCTGTTAAGTTTACTTATTTTTTTTCCTTTTAGACCCCTGCAAAATTCTTCCTTCATAATTGGGAGAAGACCCACTGGCTGGATGGCAGCTGTAGATGACTTACAGTTTGAAGGTACATCGGTCGGTGCCCACCTCTGTCTTTATGATCACTGTTTCCATAGTCAGCAACAGTTCCTTATTGCTATACTGCCTCATACTTGAAAGAATATTATTTCAAACATAGCGATTAAAAAAAGTTGGTTGCACCCAGGTTTTTCCTATTTGTCCATGCCTGCTGTTCATTTTTGCCGAATACCCTTCAGATTGGTAACAGGTATCATAGATCTAGTATAATAATTACAAAAAATGTTTCTAGAACTCCTGTTTCAGTTCAGCATTTATTGAGCACCTACTTTGTGCCTAGAACTGTACTAGATACTAGAGATAAAAAATAATCTACCCTGGTAGAGTAGATAAAATATAAAAAGATAGTTATGATGAAGTGTGATCATTCCTTCCTCAAATCAGTAAGCATCTCATGAGTGTGACCATAAGCCAGGCAGTGTTCTCATTATCAGGGAGAGAAGAGTGAACACAACAGTCTGTTTATTTCCTTTTGAAGTTCTCAGTGTAGTGAGGAAGAGAGACATTTGTTAAATAACCATTTTAATACATATCTGCAATCTGTGAAAATGCTGGAGGAAGATATTACAACTCATAACTCAGAGCTGAGGCTAGGGCTTCAGAAACACTTGTTTGTCCTCTAAACACTTACATAGCCCTGGGGTGTGGTGTGGTGGCTAAGGCACTGGACTCCCACATGGCTGATGGCAGTTCAAATCCCAGACCTGGTGGCTTGCTTTCTCACTTTCCCTCTCTCCTGCTCTCTGTCCCTCTTTGGTCAAATTAAAACAATAATAATACTAAAATATAAAATAAAATCAATCTTAAAACAAACACAAAAATCACATAGCCCTGTATGTCAGATTCTGTTCTAAGTGTTTTACAAGTATTAACTAATTTAATCCTTCAGTCAGCCTCATGAAGTAATTATTTTATTCACCGTGTTTTACCAATAAGGAAACAGGCACTGAAAAATGGATGTGCCTGAAGGTCGCACAGCTAATAAGTGGTAAAGCTGGGATTTGAACTCAGGCAGTCTGGTGTCACAGCTTATGCCATCTCTCACTGCCTGGGGGAAGAGATATGATGTTCAAAGAGAAACCCACGTCACTGGCAAATACCATCAGCTCCGTCTTTAAAATACATCTGACCATTTTCCCCACTCATACCCACTATCTCAGTCATGACCAAGGTCACCATCACCTTCTGTCTGAGTTGTAGCCCTGAAGTTCCTCTGGTCTTCCTGCTTCTTCCCTTGGTCCGCCATAGTCTATACTGTGCAGTCAAAGTAGGTTTTCATTTTTCTTTTTAAGAGAAGCTTTTGCTATAGGGCGCATGTGTTCGCCAGAGAGACAAAGAGACAGAAAGCGAGTAATCACTCCCCAGGAAGGATGGCCATGTGGCAGTCTGTTTCCGCCAGGTCCAGGACTTGAACCACGGTCAACTACATGGGGGTCCAATGATGTAACCATTATGCCATCAATGGGTCCCTGGAGTAGTTCTTTTAAAACTAAGTCAGCTAGTGAGACTGTCTAAAGTAACACCACACACAGACCCGCACAGACAAAACTAAGACACATTGTGTCACTCCTTCAGAACCTTCCAGTATCTTCCATCTTCCCAGAAGCGAAAGCCACGGC